GCCAGCTAAGTGTGACAGGCCCGGTTTCAGGCTCAGCAGAGATCAGCGTGATGGATGGACGGCCAGGCAGCTGCTGAAATCCCCTGATCAACGGCCAGCCTGGTATGCCACTCACTGATCAATTGCATCCACGTAGATTTTCGCCATCTGCTTTAATGTGACATGATAAGGAAGAATAAACCTCACAGGGCCGTGCCCCTTTGACCTCCAGTCGTACACCAATTTACAACGACTGGCCGGGTTATTTCCGCTCTTGTTTTCCCCCCGAAACATAATCTACCTTTCATCGTGTCCCGTGGCTATTATCCCGAAAAGACGAATGCCTGTGCCGGTGAGAGTAACGCCATGAATGAAAATAAATATTCATCGGGCGATCTGCAACTAAGATAGTGTAAGACCTCAGCAGCCCCATCAGAAGTCCCTGGCAACAGATCTGATGCAAGTACTGTCCAAACGTTTCAATGGCCAAACTTTTGTGGGGATTTATTACATTTGATTTCAAGCAACCAGCTGCTGAGGTGATGTAGATAAAGCTTATTGTCAGGCTGCCAGTTACTCAAGGTGAGCACTTGACCTTCCTTGTGTCCCCTGTAAAAGAAACTGGCCCATGCACACGTTTCTTTTAAGGGGGAATCAGTATACCATTAAGGCTCAATGTGGTGCCATAATGAATCGGGCAGTATTGATCCAGTCTGTTATTGGCATTCATTACTAATGCATCATTTGCATTCAAGAATGGCAAAACCAAATATTAAACAAGGCAATCCCAAATATCAAAGTATTCTAGATCCTCAATATTTTTCTTTTACAATATATATTAAATTGATGATATTTCATGAAATACTGGTTCTTTCACAGTCAATTAGGCGCCCCAATTTGGGCCACTTAGCTGCAATTTAGCCTTTTGGATGAGTTAAAAACCCACACAGAGTATATCATGTAGTTACTGTATAAATACCAAAATCCCAGACAATATCTAGTCCCATCACACCGCCAAGCTTTACTTGTTTTGGGGTAAAAATAAAACCGTAAGTAGAGCATACAGGGGAGTACATTTTTTCGCTATCAGTGCTGTGTAGTAAGCCTCGCTGTATTGCCATCTTCTGAGCACTGTTACTGCATAATGTATATCCTGACGGGTGATATTGTTTTCTATATCTCTAAGGGCACTGATTATGCTGCCTGGGCATGTTTTGGTTATCAGTGTGCAGTTTCAGTTTCTCATACTGTCACACAATAACAATGGATGAGCTTAAATATCTACAAATGCAATGCAACATTCTTGAATGTACAAAAGCCCTGACTGGAACAGAGAGACAACCTGCTTTCTTCAAATGCTTGGTCACATATCTTAGATTCAATAGTGAATTCTTATTATAAATATCACCCTCAGGGGCTTTTATCTGCACTATGAACGTATTATTCTGTATGCTATTTTGGTCCAATTACAACAGAAAATGAAACACTTAAATGACCTTGTTTCGATTTTTTTTGTGATTACTTGTCTACACTATCCTCTTAATCAAGACTAGAAGCTAATTGGATGCCTCATAATCAACCTTAGAAGGTCATCAGTTATAAAAGCTGTTTTTCTGCTGTTCCTAAATGATCTTTTATCAATAGTAACACGGAAACGCCATAAAATGTACCAACGTTACTGAAAGGAATATCCTGGTGTGCTGCTCTCCGAGTTATCATATGTGTGACTTCATTACTATTAATATAGCGTGTGACTTTTCTGCAGTCATTCTGCTTCCTGAACTTTTCTAACCCACTCACGCAACATGAAGGATTTTAAAAGTGCAGAAAAGAAAAAATAAAATTGAAATAAATGCACGATGGTTGGTTGTCGGCATTATGTCAAGCTAAAAATGTGACCAGGTACGTTTTTGTCATTCACATAATAAATTAATCACAACTGAGCTTTTCAAATAACAATTCCGTCACCGCTTTTCCCAATATGACATCCTCCAATTCTGCAGCCTTGTCTGAATTCTGAGCAGCATTCAGCTTACAGGAAATGATAGACCACCTTCAGTTCCATTCCACCTACTGTACCACCTGTGGTGAAAATAACCGGCAATTTCAACGACTATTATTCCTCAGATATATTGAAATATCAATCAAGCTTTCCAGAAACTGCTGCCACTGAATGTATAGATATGTTCTTGTAGAGATATTGGTGTCTACATCCGGACTTTCATTCTATCTAGTCTTGAAACAAGTAGAACAATGACCTAGATTGGGCTGCTGGTGTCATAACTCTGACAATAAGGCTCCTAGCTATGACTGGTATTGAATGTGGGATTTACATTTTTGTATTCAAGTATTTTGTTTTCAACACACAAATAATTAAATAACTCAAACTTGCCAAAAGTGTAAAGAGACAAAGATCTCAACAATGACCTTTTTTTTGTCTTCACCATCCAGGGACATAATCCCGGTTTGGCTGTGCAGCTGGCATGCAACTGAGTCACGCGTCAGCCCTGATTAGAAGCAGCAGTGGTCCGCGGGCCCCGTTCCTCTGCCAGAGCCAGGAGTGGAAAAGGCCAGGGCCACCACTTTCAGTCTGTGGATATGACCTTGATGGGGTATGATAGAGAGGAAGCGACACAATTCGCTATGCCGCACAATATCTGTAACCTTCCACTTCCACAGTACACGCATGCTGAAGCGTGACACACACACACAAACACACACCATGTCAACTCTGCCCTGTCATTATTTCAGGCATCCTTCATCTCCCCCTTCATGTCTTCTGATCATCCAACCCTCTGTTTATATTTGCTTGTGATTTCCACCAGATATCTGAATATCAAATATTATATTCTTTCCTGCTCAGCAGCTGCCATGCTATCGTTAAAGTCAAACCAGTGTAGCTTTATGAGATAATGGATCAGTTTAAATTATTACGCTTTATGAAAAATAATATGATGTACCATGCAGTTCATTTCTATTAATGAACATACAATTATTTGTCATATTATTTAAAACATTATTAAAAGGAAGAATTGTGTTATTTGCTGTTTTTTCTTTTTTTAAAAGGCAACCCTACCCAAGCCCTTTAATCTCATTGGAAGCAGAAATGGAAACAGATGTCTTGTGAGTCAAACATAGCAACACGAGTGGGGTAAAGATGGCACTGAAGGCACCAAAAATACTTGGTGGTGAGTAAAATCTTGGCAGTGGCATATCCTGTGTCATAACAGAGCGGATAAGAAAAAAAGATAAGCATGTGAATTATATCACAGAGTGAAAACAAAATTGCAGTACAACAAGAAGGAAAACAATAAGCCAAGACAGTGACACACCCCGCTGTTGCATTGCTGCCTAAAAACATCACCATAACGACACTATTTGCACACAAAAAAAGTCCTGCATGGCATTGCATAAGCACATTGCTCACATTTTGAGAATAGCAAGCCATGGCTTCCTTGATGTCAATGTGGCGTTCATTTAGAAACCCAAGTGGCGTACTAAAGAGTGAGACAGCCTTTAAATTAGTCTGTCAGCACTGGATTTAAGATTATAGCCTAACATCTAATGTTTATGAGAGAATGTGCAAGGGATCTGAGATGCAACAATTGTGTTGCTGTCCACAAGTGAGGTGCTGAGAGATATCCAGCAACAGTAACCAAGCAGAGGTGGTCACCTATTACTGCTGAACAGGAAATCTGAGCTAGAAGTGCCCTTGCCTGCTCTGTGAACACAGGCGATTCAGTTTCCCTGCTGCGAGAAGTGAGTTACAAAATGTGTTGTTGGAGGAGAATTTACAAAGCAAATAGGTTTACAGGAGGAGGAGCAGTGTGTTAGGCCTATATGTGCATGGGTGTAGCTCTGAATCCTGGGCACCTCCCCCCATATACTAATTTCCATGTCAAACAACAGAACCAGAAGACAATCCAAGCACATCCTTGAATGTATTAAAAGTCAACAATACATGAATGCATGCAATCCAATTACAATAAACTGTGATTGGGTAAACCGTCTCTATCAACTTTAAAAAATATGCGTCAGTGTTAAAATAAGGGTGGAGGACAAACTGAAATGTATTTATTTTCTAAAAAAAAAAAACATTTTGTATTTTGGAGCTTTAATGTGAACCACTCAGTGGTGGACCCGGCTGAACTGATCATCTGCTGTATGGAGGCATGCAGCTCCCATGTAGGCGTGGATACTGGGCTGCAGGTTTTAAGAAACATTATCTTATCAACCAGGTAAGAACCTTTTTTTCCAGCTCAAAACTCCCCCACCCCTCCTCATAATTCCAGGTATAGGTTGTAATGCCTCCTTTGTTGCAGATGATGTGGCATCTGCTTGACTCAACTGTTTCCCTCTCTGTCTCCCTACCTTTAAACTGCCCAATCCTTTGGCACAGAACATGAAATCCCTCTCAATAATAAATAAGCTACCTCAAGCATTTTCAGAGACAGGGGGCCTGCATGCTGCATGGCTCAAAGACCACCTTAACTTCACTTTTAAATATATGTATATAACATGAAGTCAGCCAAACCGACATGTGGCATCTGGCGTAAGCAAATAAAAGGTGTCTCGTTTCCATATTTCTGCCGGGGCTGCAGCCTTTATTCAGAGGAGAAGGCAGCCCTGTAGGTGCTGTATAGCAAGACCACAGGACATGTCTTCCGGCACGCAATTAAGCGACCTCATCCGCAACCGTGTTGGATTTGGAGGGCTATACCTCTCCTCCACCCACCTCAACTGACTGTAAACACTGATAACAAAGACGGTTTGGGTTAAAAGCGTGTTATCTCTAGCTGCATTAAGTGAAATCTTCAAAAAAAGACTCCTCAACACAAGTGTCAATAATTGGCGAGCAGCTGCTCCAACATCCCCCGAATTGGAATACAAACAATCCACTGACATTGAAAAACACACACAGATACGGCACGGGCTTATGTTGCCGCTTCCTACCGCAGCACGCTTTAAAGCTAATTATCCAAAAGGTCGTTTGTGTGTAGGAGGTGAGCGGTGTCGTTTACCTGAGCATCATCCAGCGATCCGACACATGGACACGGCGCGATTATTCCAGCCAGGCAAACGCAAACACAAGAGGAAGGGGTGGTGGGGGGAAAAAATCTAAACTGAGCAGAGATGAATGCGGCAGATGAATATGCGACCTCTGTCTTCAGAAAGGATAGTCTTCTTATCTTTTAAGATGGTGCTGTGTCGATGGAGGCAGGCAGGCAGGGAAGCCCCGAGCTTCTCCGTGCAGACAAAGATGCTTTCTCTCCTCCGCCGCACCGAGCAGCACAGCCGTCATTCCCCCGACACTTGATGGTAATAGTTTGGTAGGTAGATTATATGGGTTGAGGGCGCGGTCAGCTGTCGTTGACCAATCCTGCTCCCCACCAAACTAACAGCAGCGTTGCCATGGAGGATTACATGGAGTTTAACCACAGAAAGGTAACATTTGGTAATGAAGCACATACTGGTATCATATTGGAATGAGCATTATCAGAGTAGATCAATGGGGAGCAAGTAGTATGAGAGACACATGTCCATAGACCTCACCCACACTCTTGCTGCCGGAGTGTCCTCAAGCAAGGCAGGATACACCAGCTGTTGGATAACAACAAAACAACTCAATTGTATTTGAATATTTAAAATGTTTCTTCAATGGAAGTGAACTGTAATTTTCCCAAGTTGTGCCTCCATGATGTTTAGGCGAGCCACTTAACATTATAACCTGCATGTCATAGTCTGTCCAATTACACATTTATGTTGATTGTTGAAGTTAATGTTCTTAATTCAACAAAATTCCATCAATTTAACCGGAAAATATCGTTTTTAATAACATTAATCAAAATACTATCAATGAGCGCAATAACTCACCGATGTATATCTCCAGCTGCCATCATCAGTAGCAGGTGGGTGGTGTAAGTGCATTTGTATTTGATAGAGAAACACATTAGTGTGATGGGGGTTTGCTAGTAATGGCCCCTATTATAAATGCAGGACAAGCTACAGCCACACTGGGGTCTAACGCCATGATGGCAGGGAAAAGAGGGCAAGTGGATGCTGGGATTAAGATTTGTAGCAATGAAATATTAATTGAATAATGCATTGGTTTGGTTGGTAGTGAAGTAGAAATGTAAAATCTGAAATATGTAAATGATCAAATAAAGATAGCCTAACATGTCTTGTAAATAATGCCTAAACTAAGTAATTAAAGAAACAAGTAAAGGTTATTAACCTCTAAAAGCCTCTTAAGGTGAACCATATTGGCTTGAGCCTTCCTTGTGAGAGATCAAATTAAAGCAATCTTGAATTTGAGGATGAGGTATGAAAAATTAATGTTCTGAAATGTTTTTGCCTGTTGAGCAATTCAGCCTGCATGATTAAATTAACTTTACTTTTACGGGTAGATTTCAAAAAGCCTCACTGCTATAAATCAACACTATATCAGTATTTATAATTGAACACTTGTGGGAATTAAGTAATGTGTTTTCCTTACACTATGATAGAAAAGGGTACATTGTGTGTCACATTGAAATATTCCATAATATACTGAAAAAGGTAACAATGACACAAAAAAAATACAGCAATCAAAAAATTCAGCAAAACAACCAAAAGCCATTTTCTGAACCAGAAGCATGTCGGCACCACATTTGCCTCCCGGTCACATACTGAAGGAGAGACGGAGGCACTGAAAACCAAACAAGCCTCATCATGCTGAATGTTTTAAACCCTCCACTGAAGAGTAAAGTTCAAACACATGTTAGAGGTTAAATATCTACGGAGGGGTTGACTTAGCACAGAGGTGGAGTGGTTCTGAATTAGCTGTCTTCATCGTGGTCTTCACATATTACATTCAACCCCTCTTTGACTATTGCTGCTGCATTACCATTTGGCAGAGAAGACACGGTTTGACGCAGATGCTCTACTACGGGATATACTTTATAGTTCTTCTCTCAAATCTTGGCCTTATAGTTTTGCTGGGACTAAGATTTGTAGCGATTAAATATTAACTGAATTAATGTGGGTTCTTGTTTAATAAATAATAAAAAGGAGTTTCTTTAGTGAAGTACAAATGCAAAATCACAACTTTGAAAATGGGCAGATGAGCATAACAATTGTGCATTTTGTGATATTGATACGCAGAGTGAAGCAGGTAGGACCCAAACGCAGATAACACTTGATAATACCTTTATAGCAAGGGCTCTTATCTAATATATAACTTGAACAAACAAAACACTCTACGTTGAACTAGGTCACAAACAACTAGACACACCAGGGAAACTAACGACAGGAGGAAAAACACAGGGAAAAGGACCAGACAATAACCCAGGAGGAAAACATGACAGCAAACACCCAAACATACAAAACTACAAGCGTGACATAAACCTAGGAGTGTGACAGATATTGATTGGGGTGCTGCAAATGTGGCACCTTCATTCTTTAAATAACGCACCGAAAAGGCTCTATTTATTCCCAATAATTGTAAAAAACAAACATGATTGCATGTCTCTTAATGATTTCTAAAGTGTCTTCAATCTGATGACCTCACATGTCAGAGCACCAGAGTCCTTGTGCTATTTTTTCAAGGGTGCTTTTTAAGCTTTTAACCCAAAAAATAACATGAAAATCTAAATTAAAAAGTAGTAAATTACAAAGTTTACCCTCTTGCCTTCCTGTTAGAATAAAAACCAAATCATCTGAAGAGGAAAATGTTCAGCTCTCCATTAGCGCTTTGCTTTTCACCAGCAGAACATTTGACAGAGATATTGCTGGATACATGTTAGCGTCGCTGTCAACACTTGATTTTAATAGCCATATCATCAGCATGAGGAAAATGTGCTGTAAAACATTTCATATTCTGACCCAACATCTCTGCTGTATTTTGGAGATGGTAAGAAGATTTTAGGAGACAAGCAAGCTGTTATTTAAAACAATGCACAGTATGGATACAGCAACATGTCATTTAAAGGACTTCTCTTAATTTTAAGTGGGGCTGTCTTTGTAATTGCTCACCATCTGTTTTATTTTAACATTATGTTAAGCCACAGTATAAGATTGTAAAAAATGGTTGGTTCACTTCCATCAACAATAAAATGCATCCAAAACCATTGTGCAAGCAGACAATTATAGTCCATGCAGTCAAGGTACAAGCAATCAAAGTTAGTTGAGCCAGAAAGCAGAAAGAATATTAATAACCTTATCCGATTACATCATTTTTGGTTAAAGATCTCAAATGTTATAGCAAATTAACTACAGGCTGTATTATACATTTTTTTTCAAAATGTAAGGCACAATGTCATGTACAGTACAGGGGCTGCAATAATAATACAACACCAGAAAATAAGAGAAGAATAAATGCCATACAAGTACACATACAGATCCCAATGCAATTTACAATGACTATTTATTTTTGGAGTGAAATAACTCAAAACCTCCTATAGATGGATTGCTATGTATGTAATTTACAGGAGTTGTGGTTTTTGGTTGTCCCCTTACTGCTCTGTTGTCCCCTTTGGTTGTCCCCTTACTGCTCTGCTTCCCTCATGTTGCTCACAATCAGTTACATCTTTAGTTTTTGGCCAAACGGCTGCTTTAGCATCAGCTGTAATTCGTGTTGAAGTAGCAAAGGTTAGCAGGCTAAAATGCTTGTTGATTTGTGATATTGGGCTGAATAGAACTGACTTGAATTGACCAACATGTTAGCATGCTGACGTTAGCATTCAGTTCAAAACACTGCTTAATTTCAACCTGGCACTGCTGCTAGCTTGAAGAGTATTATGAATATGTTGTGTTAATGTAGAATTATTGTGCACACATTTAATAATATAAGAGAACACATGTAGAACCTAAAAAGTGGGTTTCACTCTAAAGCATTAAGACATTATGATGTTTGGCCACCCAGCTGTTATCTATTTGTCCCACCTATGTGACAATAATACTCTTTCCAATACACACTTTTATTGTCAACAACAGTGATATTTCTGCACCAAACACAAAAACAGTTGTGTGTATGTTTTACAGACCTGTCTAAGGCAATTATTGATTTGTATTCTGCTGTAAGGCAGAGTGAAGCTCTGCATCCTACATGAGGACATATTTGTGCTTATCTGTTGTGCATACACATCTACCATTTCGATAAATTATTAAGCAACAATCGTATTAAAAAGAAAGCCCTTGAGACTCAAGCAAATAATGCATGTTATTTAAATGTGCTTTCTTGGATATAGCAGCAAATTGCAGGATAGTCTTCTTGTTTTCACCAGCTGAGAAAATGAATGTGGCTTTTGCAGTTCTCGTGTTACCCTCTGTTGTGCAGTTTAAGCGATTTGCTTAGTATAATTAAGCAGTTAATATTCAAAACAGACCAGATAACAAACAGTCAGCAGAAGTGCGGTGAAAGTAAAGAAGGTCTTATTAAGTCTCAGAGTACCTAACTAACTAAAATCCAATAAGTGTTACATAAATTGCTTTGCAAGAGCTTGCAATATTGATTAATAGCAGGTGAACATGGATGACACATTAATGAGTTATTTAATGTTGGATATGTGCAGCAGATCAAGTTTTAAGTAACACTAAAGTGCAGAGTTATTCATATGACTGTATATATCTTTCACTGACTTAAAATCTCCTCTGACTAATGTCATTGCTTTGGTAATGCATGTACTGGTGTTTTGTAAAAGTAATATGAGATCATCATAGACAAATAAAATATATAATATTCAGGTGAAGATGGGAACTATGCAGGGAGTTCTGTGATAGGGTTGTTAGTTTTCCTGCCTTAACAGGGGCAACAGGCGATTGAGGGAGCTGTCAATCAAGCAAAGTCTGTGCACACCCACACAGTCCTGGGGTCTTATCTGAGTTTTAAAAAGGAGTGAGAGAATATATATGACTTCTTTCCTGAAAACTCGCAGCTGTTCCCTTTACGCCAAATGATGATTTACTGGTGCATTTATCATGATAATTAGTTTTATCTTTAGGAGTATAAATACACATTTTACATTGCTACAGTGATGGCAGGCTGTGGCTCAGTGGGTTAGGGTGCTGATCTTCAGATCAGGGGAGAGCAAGTTCGAGTCCCACTGCAGTCAGCATGTTGTTGTGTCCAAGACACTTCACCTCAAATTGCTCCTGTGGGGATTGCCCACAGGACTGAATGTAAGTCACTGGATAAAAGCGTCTAACAAGGGACATGTTAGACGCATGACAGTTTTGATGCTTGGACTTTGGGCGTCTTGTTTTTCTGAAAGCAGAAGACACGAGAGCAAAGTAAAACCAAATGCTGAAAAATGCATTTATTGGCGACCAAAATGTTACAAATGACCTTCATGAACATAAACCACACTCTGAAAGGGTAGAAGTCGTTAGCAGACAAACTGGGTGACACTGTTGTAGCCCTACCCTAAAGCTTTACCTGTTTTGTAGGCGATGTTACTCTAAATGGGACCATCATTTAT